TGCTTGGAGGCAAGAATGGAAATGGCCCGGCGGCACGTGCTGCTTTGTTATTTGATCGACTTTTTAGAGGCAGATTCGTCGTGGCTCGTTGGTCTAGGGGTATGATTCTCGCTTAGGGTGCGAGAGGTCCCGGGTTCAAATCCCGGACGAGCCCTGCATTTTGCTCTGCTTGCGACTGTTTTACCTCCACGCATCTGTCGTGTTTTAGGATCTCTAGTCTATGGCCTCATTACGATGCAAAGTTTTGCGATATGTATTTGCTTTATGTGAGTAATCGTTGACTAAATATTATTTCCGGGATTTTTTTGTCGCATTCATTGGTCATATTCAAATCAAACTCTCATGTCATGTCCCATTTTCTTTATTGTTTTGTGCGATTCAGCGTTTGTGGTGTGCTTTGTCATAATCTTACGGGAATTGTGTTTCTCATAGCTACTTATGCATTTCAAAATAATGCTTTTTTTGCCAAGATCGAGACGTGTTTAGGCTGCTGTGCGACTGGCGCGCCGACGTTTGCGTCGCTTTCCGCCAGGTACGACCCGACAGTGGTGTTGGACTTTCTCTGGGCGTGTCTGTTCGTGCCGCGTCTGTGGCAGGGCCAGGACAAGTCGGTGTCGCCGCGCCAGGAGAGCGCCGACATGCTGCGGCTCACTGCTGACCAGGTGGGCCGATTGGGGATGTTTCCTCCGGCAGCGGGATCTCCGACCTAACGCGGGCGCTGGAGGGCTCTGCCGGCGGCCACTGGGTACAAATTAGCTGGACGTGCCAGCGGAGAGCGAGGCGGGCTCAGCTTCGGACGAACAAAACCTGGGGAAATGTTATGCCCCAATTACATAATTAGGCATATGCCTTGCTTTTTGTTAATTGGGCAATAACCACTCGGCTGAAAAGCTGGATGTACAAATGTTTCCCATGGTGCCCGTTTCTACGCTCGCGATTACTCTATTCACTCCTAACCAGTCCCCCCGACAGATGATGGCGAGTCTGTCTGTGTGCCGTGTCTATATCCACTGATCCTGAGTCTGTGTGCCGTGTCTGTATCCACTGATCCTGAGTCTGTGTGCTGTGTCTGTATCCACTGATCCTGAGTCTGTCTGTGTCCCGTGTCTGTATCCACTGATCCTGAGTCTGTGTACCGTGTCTATATCCACTGATCCTGAGTCTGTGTGCCGTGTCTGTATCCACTGATCCTGAGTCTGTGTGCCGTGTCTATATCCACTGATCCGGAGTGTGTCTGCGTGCCGTGTCTGTATCCACTGATCCTGATTCTGCCTATGTGCCGTGTCTGTATCCACTGATGACCCGCCGTCCCTCCCCGGCAGATGGTGAGCCTGGTGCGGCACGTGGTACGCGAGCAGGCCGGTGCCGCGGCGCCAGTGGACGTGTCAGCCCGGCTGCCGCTGCTGCTGCGCTGCTGCCGGCGCCGGCCGCCGCTGGTCGCCGCCGCCGTCTCGCACCTGGAGCAGACGCGCGCCGGCGGTGGGCCGCGCGCCGCCGCCGCCGGCCGCCTGCTGCTGGAGCTCTACCTGCAGCTACCGCACGTGATCGCACTGCTGGACGGCGGCAGCGAGCTGCTGGAGTCGGCGCCGCTCGGTCAGTGCCGCCTGAGTGATCCGCCCCCGCCCCCGGCCCGGCCCCTGACCCCTGACGGTTATCAGCTGCGTTTGGTGGTGTACGCTGCCTGTGTGACTTAGTCGAATCGCCGCAGTGACTGGGCCGCACTTCCATACTGTTGCAAATGTTCCGATTCCTGAGACAGTCCGACATGCGCGGTTTTCACCTGAGCTGACTCGACTTGACACCGAGCTGAGTAGACACACCTTGAGCTAAACATACCAGCCATGCTAAGACTTGCACCCCTGAGCTGATCTGGCATACCCTGAGCTGACCTGGCATACCCTGAGCTCAGACCTATCTGTAAGAATCTTGGAGCTGACCTGCCCTACCCTTCCCCGGCAGACGGCGGTGTCAGCGTGCTGGACGCCCTCTCACACACGCTGCTCACGTCTATCGGGGCCACCCGACCCGGCAAGGAGTGGATCACTCAGATGCGCGACTTCGAGATCTCACTGCGAAAGATGGCCGCCACCCACCCGATGCTGCTGCTCAGGTGTGTATGTGTGTCTGTATGTACGTCCGCCGCTGTGTCGTGTGTTGGAGGCTGGTCTCTCTGCCTGCTGCCCAGCAGCTGTGTGTGTGTGCCCGCCCTGACGGCCGGTCCTGTGGTCCGCAGGCAGCTGCCGATGGTGGCCTCGCTGCTGCGCGGCCGCACCCACCTGGATGGGCCCGTGTTCCGGCAGCGCAACCACGCCGTGCTGTTCGCCAAGCTGCTCGGGGTGCTGGAGCTGCTGCAGCCGCAGGTGTACCTGTCGCACCACCGCGCCGCCCTGCTCGACATCCTCGACTCCTACTGCCATATGCTGCAGGTGAGGCCGGGCGCCGCACAGACAGGCGCGAATGGTGATAGGGGCGTTTACCGCAGGTGTACAGAGTCCGTGAGTGATGATCTTCGCATACTCTTTACCGGGAAGAAATGGTGATTGGTCTCTGCACAAACTCAAAAAGATTGAAACGTCTTCACTGAAAAGAATACGCCAGCTGGATCGTGGACGGCTATAACTGAACATCATTTGACTACAAAGTATCTTTGACGTGCTACTAAGTACTACGTTTCACCACTAATGGGCCGCGCTCGCGAACACTGTCCCAGCCCTATCAGCCGTTTGTAGACTAGCCACGGCGGCGAGGCGCTGACGGGTCGCGCTCGATATCTGTTCTCAGAGACAAAACCTGAAGGAGGTAACGGCCATGGTGCCGCGGATAGCGGTCATACTCAACAACTTCCTGTCGAGGGCCCCGGCAGAGGCCTCGCAGTTCCTGCACAAGTACTCGGAGCTCATCATGTGAGTAGGTCGCACGCGGCCCGGCCGGCTCGCACAGTGGTGGATGGGACGGTTGCTGCCGGTTGGTGGTGTCTCAAGTGGTTTTATTTTTTATTTTTGTTGAGTTAGGCCCTTTCGGTCTGACAAGACCATTCCAGAGCCGAAAGGATGATAGGAATTAGGGGGAGACATTGGTCTGGGCAGACACCCTAGAGAGTCGCCGGGACTGAGCCCGTCCGAATGAACAGGCCGACCAGCCCCCCAAGCACTCTCTGCACCCGGCTACGGGGTGCGCTCCCTCGGGAGCAGCGGTGCCGCTCCAAGGGAGCAGCCCGCATGAGATAAAGGTGCCTGTCCAGCCCGGAGTGGGGTTGCGGCGTGTAGGAGGAGGATTTCAGTATCCTGAGGATGGAAGCGACGGAACGGAGGTGTCTCAAGTGGTCGGGGCAGGCAGGCTATGTATGTCGTCTCCTTTCACGATTTGTATCGATTTCTTCTTGGGGATATGGGTTGCATCAGTCTTTAATTATCATAGGGCGAAAAATGACAATTTGTGAAGCAGAATTCTCATTTCGATACGGCTTGTCGACAGTGATTTCGGCTGTGGCCAGTCACGGGGAATCACAGTCCGTATAAAACTGTTCAAGTGCCATTTTCGCTGTGACCCCGGCCATGTCCGTCGTGACGCCCGTGTGTGCCGGACGTGCCGTCAGGTCGCTGGCGTCCCGGTTCCCCGACCAGCCGCTGCTGCGCACGCTGGCCTCGTACGTGACGTCGGCGGGCGGCGGCGGCGGGCCGCCCCCGCTCTCGACGGGCGCCGACGCGGCGCCGTCTCCCGCCCAGCTGGCCGGCCTGATGATGAAGCTGAACAGCGCGGAGAGCTCTGACGAGCTGGCGGCCGTGCTGCAGGACCTGGACACGCTGGCCGCCCGGCGCGTCGGGGTGCTGGATAAGTTCGTGGTGAGTGGCCGCAGGGGAGGAGATTGGGCGCGAGGGCGGGAAGAACAGGTCGTTACACGGGGCCGGCTCCGTCACAGTGACTGGTGTGGCGGTTAGTCCCGCTAGTCTCGCGGGCTAAGCCAGTGAGCAAGAAGTGGAGGCAAACCGTCTAGCGGAGTTGGAATAATACCGAGTCACCGGGTCTGTGATAGATTCTGTGTTGGGATGTGTCTGACGCCGTCTCTGGCTGTCTGTCAGGACAACCTGTGCGACCTGCTGTCGAGCTGCGGCGCGCCGGTGCGCGAGCTGGCCCACTCGCTGCTGCTGCGCTACCTGCAGCAGACGCCGGCCGCCGCCGACCGCTGCGTCTCGGCCTACTTCGAGTGCCTGGACAGCGGCGACGAGTGCGTGCGCGCCATGGTGCTGGACCGGCTGCCCGAGATCGTGGTGCTGGCGCAGGGTGAGTCGGCCGGACGCCCGGCCGCGGCGCCGCGAGGACTCTGCATGGCTGGGGTCTAGAGACTTGTGCTGCGTCTGCCGTCTGATAACGTGTCCCGCTGTCCCACACAGAGCACGCTAGTAGAGCGTCTTGCACCTGCTTCCGCTGTCCCATAGCTCGCCAGCACGGATTATTACACAGTGTCCCGCTGTCCCACACAGAACACTGAGGAGGGTCTGACACTCATGCCCCACAGACTATTTCGAAGCGTCTGACGCAGTGTTCCGCTGTCCCACAGAGCACGCCAGCCAGCTGATGCAGAAGGCGTTCGACGTGGCGATCGCCACCAACATCGGCACGGCGTCCTACATCAGCGACGCTATGGCGCTCCTGAACGTACAGACCGGGGCGTGAGCGGCCGACTGCGCCCCTTCCCTACCCCTCCCTTACCGCGCGCTGTTATCGGGCCCGTGTGACTTGTATCAGAAATACACATGTAAAAAAGATCTGTATCGCTGAGTAATGTCGGCTCAGGCCCCGACGGCGTGTCCAGTCGATAACCTCATCGCATTCGCAGTTACTATGCCATGTGGTGGTACTTATGAGATAGGGTGACTTAATTGGAAGGGTTTTCGCAATAAGCATGCGCTGTTCGGAGCAGCGGGAAAAAATGCATGCCTATGTCATTGAAGCTGTTCCCAGGCTTTTGACATTATCTAGCCAGGTCGGAAACAAGTTTCGGTTATACACAATTGTGATTATTCATTTCACTCGGCTAGCGATCGAAGGAAAAGATACTCAACAACAGAAAAATAACAGCCATTGGAATTCGGATCGCCATCCAAGCGATTCCGTTCAGGCACTTTTGAATCACAAGCGATCACAAATATGCGGACTAGCAAAGAAAGCAACGACAACGCACCTTTGTGGCGCCGACTGAGTAGCAGCTATCACGACAAAAACCACTGTCAAAACGTCATCACCTTGAACTGTGCTCACCATCGGCAGGATGGCGCTCGACGATCTCAGCTGGGAGAGGACCCTGATCGGTGGGGCGCCGCGCTGAGACAGGGCCGCTGAGCGGTGTCTGGCAGTGACAGCGGTCAGCCGGCGCCGAACAGAGTCGGCTGGTGACGGCCGGGCCGGCCGGCTCGTCTATACGTGCGCCGCCCAGCCGCTGTAGGCCAGTCCGAGCACGTACCGGTCGGTGGCCAGCTCCAGCAGACAGTCCACCTGCTGCTCGGCCGTCAGGCCCGCGTCGGCCAGCTCGGCGCGCGGCTCGTGGCCTCGCCGGCCGCGCGCCGCCGCCGACCACGCCTCCACCTCCTGCGCCGAGAGGCGGCCGGCGCCCGCCAGCAGCTGGCACACGTCGGCGGCCGGGTGCGAGCCGCACAGCCGGCCGCGCGTCTGGCGCACGCAGCGGCGCGCGTGCTCGGCCGGCTGCTGTTGGTGCTCGGTCCACTGGGCGGCCGGCTCGCGCACGAAGCCCTGCAGCGCGGCGGCCAGCAGGTGGCGCGAGGAGCGCAGCGCGCGCACCGCCCGCAGCAGGGTGTGCCGGGTGAGGCCGGCCGGGCCGAGCGGCGCCGTCAGGCCGGCCAGCTGCGCCGTCAGTCGGAACGGCACCAGCTCCGGCACGGGCAGCAGGCTGGTGGCCGAGCCGAACACGTGGCCAAAGTCGATGCCGATCATTGCGCCATCCTCCAGTGAGACGAGGAAGTTGCCCAGGTGGCGGTCGCCGACGCCGAGCAGCCAGCCGGCGGCACAGAGCAGCGCGTGTGACTCGGCCATCCGGGTGCGCAGCCGCAGCAGCGCCTCGGGGCCCGAGCTGAGGCGGAACACCGCCTGCTGCAGCAGCGTGCTGCACGCGCGGCCCCGCTCGTCGCGCATCAGTGCCTCGCGCGCGGCCAGGTCGGCCACCACGACGTCCCGCGGCGCGCGGCGCGCGTACTCGCTCTGCAGCTGCACGTCATTGGCGCCGCTCTGGGTCGCGTGCCGCCTCATCTGCTTCCTGAACAGCTCGCGCGCCTCGGCGCACTGCTGCTCGAGGTCCGGGCACGCCGAGCCGATGAACTGGTGAAGCGTGCTGGTGTGATCGAGCCACTGAATGATACCCAGCGTCGGATGGACGGGCAGCACGGTGTAGGTGGTGAGCGCCAGCCGGCGGTCGGCGGCCGCCGGCTCCGCGGCCAGCGCGCCGTTCAGCAGTCGGAACAGCTGCTGCACGCGCTGGTCGGTGCGCAGGTCGTCACCGGCCTTGATCAGGTAGCGGTACTCGCGGGCGTCGTCGCCGCGCACTGTGATGCGCACCGGGCGCTCGATGGAGTTCAGCACGAGCGCCTCGTCGGACAGATTGGCCACGCGCACATGGTAGTCGGGCTGCGGTCGGCGGCGGCCCGTGTACTGGCCGGGCAGCTCCAGCCGCTCCTGGCTGTTCACGTCCTGGAACGAGGCCAGCCAGCCGCTGAACTCGCCCAGTCGGCGTGAGGCGGGCCGCTCGGCCAGTCGTTTCTTGATAAGATCCACGGCCTTGGGCGCCGACCTGGTCGTGATGCGCTCTCCGTTGTCGCCGCACAGTCGCAGCAGCTGGCGGTCGGCCTCGGAGGGCGGGTCCGACAGCACGGCCGCCAATCCGCCCCAGTCTGCCAGCGCGCCGGCTGCCTTCTCCAGCTGGCCGACCTGCAGGTGGCGGCACAAACTCCTGAGCCGCGAGTAGACGCCCAGCCGGCCGAGCTCAGCCACCAGTCGCTCCGGCAGCCGGCAGTTGGCCATCAGCTGGTGCGCCTGCTCCAGACAGGCGCTCATCTCGGCGGGCCGCACGGCGCCCCTGTCGGCCCGACTGGCGGCCAGCGGGTAGGCCAGCGCCTGCGGGTACTGCTCGGCCAGCCGCAGCAGCAGCCGGCGCACCGTGCCGCCGCAGCCGGCCGATGCGCCGTACGAGAACAGCTGCGGCAGCCAGGCCAGGAAGCGCCACTCGGGCACGGCCTCCCAGCCGTCCGCCAGCGCGGCGGCCGCCGGCGGGTGCTCGTCGGCCAGCTGCAGCAGGCGCGGCAGCCAGTCGCACGCCTCGGCCGAGCCGGCCGCCAGCGCCCACAGCGTGCAGCGCACGAAGGGCCCGCGCAGCTCGGCGCCCGGGCCGCCGGCCTCCGTCTCCTCCAGCGCCTCCAGCTGGCGGCCACAGAACCTGGCCGCCTCCAGACAGGCGTCAGCGGCCTCCGGCGAGCCGCGCGCCGCCTCCACGGCTGCCGAGAGCCGGCCGAACGCCAGCTGCACCAGGTCGGCCCGCGCGCCGTCGCCCGTCCAGTGGCCGCTCTCCTCCAGCAGCTGGCTGACGAACGGGTCGGCGACGGCGGCCGGCTCCAGGAGACACCGCTCGGCCAGCTCCGCCTCCAGACGGGCGCGCCGCAGCAGCAGGCCGACCGGCAGCGGCGGCGCCGAGTCGCGCCAGCGCACCTGGTCGTCCAGCACGCGCCACGTGCGCACCGGGTCCCGGCCGAGCAGCACGGCCGTCTGACAGCGCAGCAGCTGGTACTCGGCGGCCAGGCTGGCGTCGTCTGCGTCCCACTGTTGGGAGCGCAGGTGCCCCAGCTGCCGGCCGGCCGCCGTGGCGTTGCGCTGTGCGAGGGCGGCCTCGACCAGCCGGAGCCGCGAGCGGCGCAGGTAGCGCTGCTGGCGCGTCCCAGGCGGCAGCTGGTCTACGTACAGGTGGCGGCGGCCCACCAGCCGCTCCCAGAAGGCGAGGCTCTCCTGTGCCGCCGGGTAGTTGCGCTCCCAGTGATCCAGCAGGCTGGACGCGGCCGCCGTCGGGTCCGGCGCCGTCACCGCGTCCAGGAACTGTTGCAGTTCGGTGATTGTGCGCAGCCGCTGCAGGAGCGGCGTCCGCGACTGGCCGCCGGCTGCCTCGGCCGCGCTCCAGTCGCGCACAAACGATTCCTGAGCCATGTGGCAGTAATGGCGCGCGCGAGTCAGCTGCCCGCAAGCCACGTGGCGCAGCGCCAGCTCCTCGGGGAAGCGACTCTCGAGCAGGTGGCGACTGGCCTCCTCGGCCAGGCCGGCGTCCAGGAACTGGTGTAGCTGTTGTGTCGTTGTCCCGTCCCGCTCTATGGCCAGCTGTGTTTTGCTGACGACCAGCCAGGGGAGCAGGTGGTCGCGTTGCTCGTCGTTCCCGGCCAGCCAGACGCTGTCCAGCCGCGGCTGCTGGTCGTGGTCCGCAGTCAGTCGCTGGTCGACAGCCCGGCTCAGCCGGCCCCACTCGGACAGCTCCGACAGACACTGGAAGTAGGCCTGATCGCTCAGGTGGTCCTCGCCGCGCCGGATCGTCTGCTCGTAGTGACGCGCCGCCTCCAGAAAGTCTCCGCGAGCCTCCGCCTCCAGTGCGGCGGACCAGTCGGCGGCCAGGTCGGCGCGCCGGCCGAGCGCGGCGCGCGCCGAGTCCCTGTCGCCGTACTGGACGTACAGCTCGGCGAGCACGCTCCAGAGCCGGTCCCGGTCTCGGGCCGGCTCGGCGGCCGGTGGCGGCAGACCGAGACGCGGCCGTTTCCTATCGGTGGCCGCCTCGACGGCCGCCGGCTGGCGCAAGGTGCGTTCCAGCAGCATAATGCCGGCCGGCAGCTGGCCGCTGAGGCGGCACACGGAGGCGAGCAGCGCCGGCGGCAGCGCCAGCTCGGCGTCCAGCGCCGTCTGCAGCGCGGCGCTCACCAGGCTCGGCTCGGCCGTGCGCAGCCGGCGCAGCACAGACTCCAGCCCGGATGACACGGCGTCCCTCAGCTGGTCAGCGCCGACGCCGGCCGCCGGCCGCTTCCTCGACTGTGTCGGCGAGGACGGCCGCTGCTCGGCGGCGTCGAGCTCGTGCAGCGTGCCGACCAGCAGGCCGGCCAGCAGACGGGCTGCCGTCGGCGGGTCGTGCATGGCCAGCGCCTGCAGCGGCCGCAGCAGGTCAGAGTACGGGATCTCGGTGTCGGGCAGCTCGCCGCGCCGGTACCGCCGGAACAGCTCCACCTGGGCGTCCTGGCGGCGCGGCTCGTCGCGCTGGCGGTCCTCGCGCAGTGCGCGCTGGTCGGCGTGTCGCCGCGCCATGCGGGCAGACACCTGGCGAGCGTCCGTCTCGACACGGCGGCGTAGCATGCGCGACAGAGCGTCGGCGCCGGCGTCTCCGTCGCCGCCGTCCACGTCGTCTGTGTATCGGAGTCGGGCGCCGCTCGGGGTCCCGGTGCCGGCCGGCGCTGCCGCCGTCTGGGTCAGCCAGTCGAACGTCGGCTGGCTGGCGGCGCTCCGCTGTGTGGGCGTGAACGCCAGGCTGCGCTGTGTGGCGCGCAGCAGCGCCGGAAGCGGTCCGCCGCCGGCCGCCGGCTGCGAGAACAGCGGCACTGCGGCGGCGCTCTGCACCCGCCAGTCGGACACGATGGCCACCTCCTCGAACTCACTCTCGGGCAGCGCTCGGTCGAACATCTTGCGGTCGAAGTCGGGCGATTGCGCCGTCAGTCCCAGCACCAGGTAGGTGGCGTAGCTGAGATAGGCCGCCTCCAGGCCGGGCCGAAACATGTCCGTCAGCACGCGGGAGAGCCGGCCGGGCGTGGTGTCGGCGCCCGCGTCTGCCCAGTAGTTGGCCGCCGTCTGGCGCACCGTCAGGTCGGCGTCAGTCAGCAGCACCAGCAGGGCGTCCGTGGCGCGGGCGCGCACACCGGCGGCCTCCTCCGAGTCGTCCCGGTCAAAGCGGCGGCGCAGCTCGATGCACAGCTCGGCGGCCAGCCGGCGGCCCGGCGCACCGCCGTGGTTCACCACGAAGTCGACGGCCGGCAGGAAGCGCGCCCACTGCCCGGCCGAGAGTCGATCCCCCTCGGCGGCTGCCAGCAGCAGTTGGAGCGCCGCCCGGCGCAGCTGCGGGTCGCGCGCCTCGGTCAGCCGGTCCAGCCGCAGCGCCGCCAGCTCGCTGCTCAGCTGCGGCACGTCGCCGATAATGTCGTGCAGTACCTGGAGACCGAGCGCCTTCTGCTCGCCGTGCAGGGACGGCAGTTGGAACAGCAGTCGGACGCGCTGGCTGGCAGCCAACGGTCGGCAGTGGGCCGACAGACGCGCCAGGCACGTCACCCAACGCACCCGGTCGTCTTTCTCCACGGCGGCCAGTTTAGCGGCCACGACCGGCGTCACAGCTTCGATGTCAGTGCGGCCGGCACACAGCAGCGCTACGACGGTGCTGGCCGGTCGGTACAGCTCGGCGGTGCTGCTCCGATCGACCATCAGCGTCAGCAATCTGTCGAGCAGCTGTTGCATCTCGTCCCCGTCCAGACCGAGCGGACGGTCCGCCAGCAGCGCGGCCCGCAGCGCGCAGACGCCGGCGCGCGGCGCGTGCAGCTGCCGGTCACCGGTCAGCAGCTGGACGGCCAACCGGCCGGGGAAGGCGGCCCGGTCGCCCCAGCCACTCACCAGTTTCTCCAGCACGTCCAGCATGATGCGAACCACGCCGCGGTGCGCACTCGGCGTCAGTCGCAGCACCACCTCCAGCAGACGGCCGGCGTCGGCGCGTGAGCTCTCCTCCGGCGTGACGTCCTGCTGCGCCCAGCCGGCCAGCATGTCCAGCACATCCAGGAGCAGCGCATTCAGCTCGGGGCCGAGCCGCTCGGCAGCCAGCAGTCGCAGCAGCGGCGGCAGCAGCCAGCGGCCGTACGGCCGGCACGCCGAGTCGCAGTTGGTCAGCAGTCGGCACAGGAAGAGTAGCACGTTGTCCGGCGTGTTATCCGACTGCAGACGGGCGCAGAGGGCCGTCACCCAGGGAGCCGGCTGCGCGGGCGGTCCCACCTCCGGCAGCGGCCACACTCGCTCGGCCAGGTGGCCCACCAGCGCCGTCGCGCACGCCATACACTCGTGTTCGTTCAGATCGTCGGCTGGCAGCTGGAGGGAGGCCGGCGCTGATCGCTCGCGGCCGCCGGCCTCCGCCTGCTGCTGCAGCTCCTGGGTGCTCAGATCCACGCTGGCCGTGAAGTCGTAGTCGGTGACCTGGCTGCCGAGGCTGCTGTCGGCCAAGAGTCGACTGACGGAGCCGGTCCGGCGCGGCGCCGACTGCCCGCCGCCGGCGCCGGCCGGGCGCGGGATGGAGACGTGCCAGCGGCGCAGCTCGGAGCCGCCCTCCACCGGCAGGTGATAGCGCCGCTCGGCGTCCACCAGCCGCTCCCAGATCAGCTGGTTGCGCTCGGGCGCCTCGGCCAGCAGGAACGTCTGGTAGAAGCGCGCCTCCGTCTGTGTGGCCGACACGGCGGCGGCCAGCGCGCAGTAGGCGGCGCACATGCAGCGGCGCCGCGCCTCCGACAGAGACGCCGGCTCCACACAGCGCAGTGGCGGCGCCTTGAACGCTGCCGCGCCCGAGCCCAGCAGTGCCTTGGTTAGCTCGTTGCCGCGCGCCGTCGCACCGGCGAAAGCCGTCACCAGTGGCGAGGTGGCTGCGTGCGTCTGATCTTTGGGCAAGGACGCGTAGAGCACCTCCAGTAGCGAGAAGCCACCCATGCGGCTCACCCACTGGTGTTCGGTGGGTTCCGAATCGGCCGGCACGGCGGGCGGCTCGGGGTCCTGGACGGGACGCGCGATGGCGACCACATGACTCGTGTAGAACTGCAGCAGCACCGGCCGGTCGGCGGCCCGCAGCAGAGGACACAGGAATGATACCAGCAGCGTGCGCCGACCGGCAGCCGGCAGCCCGCCCGCCGGCCAGAACAGAGCCAGCAGCTCTTTGGCCAGCGCCAGCTGCTGGGCGGTGCCGTGTCGCCCAGCGGCGGCTGTCAGCGCGGCGCGCAGCAGACTACTGCACGGATGGCGCGCCTCGCGGCACATGAGCACGCACATGTAGCGCGCCAGCGCAGGGTGAGCCGTCATCTCCAGCGCCTCACACAGGGAGGCCAGTACGGCGCGGTAGGTGGCCAGCGCCGGCGAGCCGGCCGCCAGTTCCGACGACTCCAGTGGAAAGTGGCGCGACTCGAGCCTCTCCAGGAGCGAACAGATGTTGGCTGACAGCGTGGCAGAGCCCAGCATGATCGTCAGCAGGCGCAGCGCCGGTCGTTTCTGTTCCAGCGTTAGGCGGTCGCCGTCCAGCAGCCTCGTGTACCAGGCTACCGGGGACGCCGCCTGATCCTCGCTGGCCAGCGGCAGGTGCACCAGCAGCAGCAGGCCCAGCAGCTGCACCAGCGCCGGCTCGCTGGCCGACTCGAGCTGCTGCCAGCCCTCGGCCAGGAGGCGGGCCAGCGGGGCGCCGTACTGGCGTCTCAGTTGTCGGTCGGCGGCCGTGGCGCGCACCACAGCCGTCAGCAGCTGCACGCCGCGCGGGTGGGCGGCCGCCCGCGACACCAGCGGACTGAGCACAGCCTCGCGCGCCGCCGGCTGCAGCAGGTGCGGCACCAGCACGGCCGAGAACCGGCTGAAGAAGAGCCAGCCGCGCTCGGCCGAGCCGCTGCCGGCGCGCACCTGCTCCTCGGAGAGCAGCGCAGAGAGCAGCCTGCGTGCCGGGACGCCGAGCGCCAGCGCCGTCTCCAGCGCCGTGTCGGCCAGCCGGACCGTCATCGGGTCGGTCGGCGGCTGGCGCCCGCAGCTCTCCCAGACGACCGCGAACAGTTCCTCCCCGGAGACTCGCAACTCGGCCGGCGCCGCGCTGCTCAGTAGGCGACTCGACTGCAGGGTGCGCAGTCCGCGCAGCTGCTGCGCCACATGCTGGTCGTGCTGGCTGCTCAGCGCCTCGTCGAGCGCCTGGCAGACAGAGCGGCCGGCCGCGCGGCGCGCCAGACTGTCAGTCAGCAGGCGGCGTGTCTCAGCGTCGGCATATCGCGCCACCGAGCGCAGCAGTCTGTCCAGGGCGGCCGGCAGTTCGCGCACCACCTCCGCCTCGCTGACGTCAAAGCCCAGCTCGGCCGGCGCCAGGACGGCGGCGGCCACCGTGTCGCACACGGGCAGAGACCAGATGTCGGTGACAGCGCGAGGAGCCGCCCGCAGCAGTGCCTCGATCACGGCCAGCGCGCGCACCAGCGCCGTGCAGCGCAGCCGGCGCACGGGCGCCCACCGACCGGCCTCGGCCGAGTCTTCGAAAGACGGTTTAAACGCCTCGGCCATCAGAAAACGGATGTTGTCCAGTAGGTACGAGTCACTACCTATCGGCCTGTCGGCGGGCAGCGCGCCGACCTGCAGCGCCCAGCTGTAGCCGTCCAACGCGGCCAGCAGGGCGTCCAGCCAGGCGGACCAAGACACCGGTCCGCGCAGATCACGGTACACACCGGTGAGGGCGTGTTCCAGCAGCCGGACGGCACCGCCGCCGGCCGCCACCAGGCCGCGCAGGCCACCGGCGGCCGGGGCTAGCGGTGTCAGGGCCTCCAGCAGCCGGTAGCAGGCGTGACGACACTCGGTCTGCGGTGCGCCGCACTGACCGACCAGCCAGCTCAGCAGGTCCGGCAGCGTGGCGCCCTGCCAGCCGGCCGGCACACGGCGCTGCTCGCTCTTTTCCAGCAGACGACTGGCGCGCGCCGTCAAGATGCGCTGGCAGTGACCGAGCGCATCGGCGGCGGCCGTGTCGGTGCCGAGCGCGCTGGGGTCGGCGTGAGCGCGAGCCAGGGCCGCCAGCAGCGCGGCCGTCACCTCCAGCAGAAACACGTCTAGCAGTCGGTCGCTCTCCCGGAACACGCGGTACAGGTTGTTGAATGCGAGTGTGGCGCCGAGCCGGCGGTACGGGTCCGGGTGTCGCAGGTGGCCGTAGAGTGCCTCCAGCAGCGGCGCCACCTTCTGCACCGGGTCGGCGCGCCGCTGTTTGAGCGACCACTGAAGGTACTCACGCAGAGCGTCGGCGCTGACGTCCCTCCGCGCCGGGTCGCCGGCGTCCACCAGACCCTCCAGCAGGACGTCCAGCAGCAGCGCCGACTCGGGCCGCCCGCTCATGGCGTCCGTGGTAAACCAGTGCGTGATCTGCGTGAGCAGCGGCGCGAACAGCTGGCGCGCCACCAGACTGGGACTGGCGGCCAGCCGCAGCAGCGCTGGCAGCAGGCGCCGGTACACGGCCGACAGAGAGCCGGCGCCGTCCATGCCCAGCTGGGCGCCGCGCCCCAGCGTGAACACGGTGACGGCGTGCAGCAGCTCACAGGCCGACGTCCGCGCCTGCGCGTCGCCAGAGCCCAGCGCCAACTGCACGGTGCGCGGTAGAAACGTCTCCAGCCACAGCTTGGGCTTCACGTCCGAGAAGGGCACGTCTAGGCCGAGCACAGGCCGCCGGCTCCAGGCGACCAGCTCGGCTTCGGAGCTGTCGGCCACCAGACCGGCGGCGGCCAACAAGCCGAGCAGCTGCAGCGCACGGCGGCGCAACGGCGTTAGCTCAGAAGGCCGGCGCGACGAAGGGGCGCGATCGCCGCCGGCCGCCACCGTGGCTTCCGGTGCCAAGTACTGGCTCAGGGCCGGCGCCATCGCCCGCAGCGGCTCCACACAGTCGCCCCACCGTTCGCTGCACCCAGCCAGCGCCGGCAGCCACGACTCGAGAGCGTCCAGCGCGCGCGCGGCCAGCGGCAGGTGACTGCGGCCCAGGCGGAGCGCCAGCCGCGCCACGGCCAGCAGGGGCGACGCGCAGTCCGCTGCCAGCGCCGCCGGCGCCGCTAGCACCATAGAAACGCAGGCCTCTTGCAGCTCGTCCCGGTACTGGCTACAGCGGGGCGCCGTCTCCGACACGTGCGCCGCCCACAGCCGGCGCAGGCCCGCCTCCGCACCGTCGCTGTCCTCCTGGACGGCCTGCCAGCAGCCCAGCCGGCCGGCGGTGAGTAGGTAGGTCCGCGCCAGCCGGTACAGGCCGCTGACGAGGGGTCGCTGCACAGAGGTGGCCACTACCTGTCCGCTGAGCAGCGGCAGCCACGGACGCAGCCGCAGCTCGGCGCCGTCCGACAGCAGCGCGTGCTCCAGCACCGACACCAGGTTGATGAACACCTGGAAGTCTTTGGGCACTCGGGCCTGAAGGCTGACGGCCGGGTCGCCGGAGGCCGGTGGCGCGTCTCCGTCCAGAGGCTGAGTGCTCAGGTCCAGCTCGCAGATTATCTTCTGGCTGGCGTCCACCAGTGCGGCGAATACCTCATTGGCGAGGGCCTGCAGGGCCGCCACGCTGACGCCCTTCCTGGTGAGCTGGCGCAGCCCGTGCGCCGCGAGCAGCGCGTCCCACAGCGGCAGGTAGTCCTTGTAGCTGAGCGGTCGGTCCGCGTACGAGACAGCCGAGTCCTTCTGCAGCTCCGTCTCCACGGCCAGCGCGTGTGAGCAGCAGCGCAGCAGCATCTGGTAGACGAGCCGGCGCAGGCAGGGCGCCGCCAGCTCGGGCCGGCCCAGCAGCGCCAGCAGGCAGCGCGCCACGCCGCCGTCGGCCAGGAACCGGTGCGTGGGCGGCACACGCGGGTAGTGCTCGACCAACAGCAGCAGCAGCCGCTCGCCAGTGGCCAGCTGGGCGGCCGGCAGCGTCGGCAGCGCCGCCAGGCAGCAGCCCAGTGACGACACGTGGCCGGGCAGCTGGAGCAGCAGCTCGGCCGCCGGCGGCGCCGACTCGCCGGCCAGGTACAGCCTCTCGGCGCGGTCTGACAGCCAGGTGACCAGCAGTGCCAGCTCCTGCGGCGGGTGGAGCCGGCCGCACGGCGCCGCCAGCGCGCCGTACCCGTGCACGGCCACAGAGAGCACGGCCGGCGGTGCGGCGCGGTCGTCCAGCAGCTCTCGAAGCCGCGCCAGCAGGAAGGCGAACACCTTGGCCGGCCGGCCGTCATCGGTGGGCGCTGTCGTCAGCCACTCACACACCTGGTTAATGAACGCGTCCAGCGCGCCGACGCCGGCTCGCGCGTCGTCCCGGTTGTTGGAGAGGGCCCAGCGCACCAGGTGTGAGTAGAGCGTCACATAGCGATCGTACATGTGCTTAGAGAACTGGGCGGCGTGCGTGGCCAGCAGCGCCAGAGCGGCGCGCGGCGCCTCGCGACGCGACAGCTCCGCCGTCGGGTTGATGACACGCGCCACGTAGTCGAAGATGCGGCCGCAGACGACCGGGTTGTCATCGGCCGACTGGGAGAAACTGTGCAGCAGACACGTCAGGCCCTGGATGGCGCCGGACACGATGGTCATCTCCAGCTTGGCCGAGCGGGAGTCAAGCTGGCGCTTCAGCTCGTCCAGCAGCGCAGTACACGCGCGCTCGGCCAGCTCGGCTGTCTGCTGGGGGCAGTGCTGACAGAGGGCGCCCAGCAGGTGGAGCTGCTGGCGGCGCACGGTCGGCGGCGCGGCGCGCGTCAGGTCCTTGCTCAGCAGGTCGGCCGCCATCTGGTGGGCGGGCGTCGACCGGCCGCCGCCGGCCGCTAGCACCGTTATCAGCAGCTGGAGCGCCTCGGAGCGCACCGCGCTCGTCTCCTGCGGCCGGCCCGACAGCAGGCAGGCCGTGCTGCGGATACCGGCCGCCTCGCAGTCGAGCGACGCAGCGCCGGCCCTGGACACCAGGTCAGCAGTCACGCGGCAGCCCTCCACCTTAAATGATCCAAACTCCTTGATCTCACGAACATCTTGGAGGAGACCCATCAGGCCATGTGCAATGTCATTTGGTGGGAACAGCACTGATAGAATGAACTGAAAATCAGTGTCAGTGAACTGCTCCTCCAGATATCTTTTGATATTCAGGATGAGTCCTATGGCCCTCTCTGGATCACCCTGAAGCTCTTCTCTGCAGACCACTGACTGCAGCTCTCTGAACAATTGTTGTATTTCTTGGGCAGCCATTTTAGCAAACTGCAGTTCTTCAAATGTTACTTTCTTTCAGTTGAAGTAAAATTTTATTTTGCCATTCACTGATTACATCTAAGCAACAATCAGGCTTGGTGAAGGTTGTACTGATGCCATAATGTATCACATATTTGTTGCACCTCTTGCATATTCCTGAAAATAAAATAGGTAGGTATTGAAATACATATAATATATTCCTTTGATTGAAAACTTATATAATGTTTTGGCTACCATAGCTATTGATATCTAAGCAACAATAACCCGCGCCCCAGTGGCGGTCTCGGCCAACTTCGCCCTAGTGACGGGGGGGCATATGTTACCACCCACCTCTAACTCAAAAACTAAGAGGGCTAGAAAGACGCGGTAAAAAGCAGTCGATAGCTCTCAATACGTACGTTTGAAAGTATTTCGGTCATTTTTCACCTTAGAGCAATATTGGGGTCACCAGAGGTCATCAAAGGTCAAAATTTGTCAATTGTCATTATATTTTTCAGAAAACATGCCGCTATCTCAGGAACTATGGTAGCTAGAAAAACGCATGGAAAAGCAATCGATAGCTTTTGAACTCTTCTTTTGAAAAGATCATTATCAATATTGTCCTCAGGTCAATGGTTTAGCTTCCAGAGGGCAAAAACTCCAAAAATAGCTGTTTTTACGAAAAGTGTTTTTCGACAATAACTTTCGACTACAAAAAGCCACGACATTTCTATTGCCAGAATCGTGTTCCCCTCACCGAGACGCGTCGAATGAACTATAATTTGACCTTGAAAGGTCAACTTAAAAATTTGACCTCAGGTCAAGGTCATGACCTGACCGTAAAAGGTCATGTTGCATATCAGTCGATGCGTCTTAACAAGACAAACACAATGAGACCATCCCCAGCGTTCTATCTCTTTCCAATCGCGAGTTATTGGCAAAAAACTGTTTGTAGCCTCAAATGACCTCGGATGACCTTTCTAGAGGCTATCAGCAAAAATGACACCTTGGTCATCACGAGTGGACTAAATCATTGTGATTCTGCAATATTTGGACTGTTCCTATGCGTACACACGGATCTAGAGGCATTTTCATTTTTCTCCATTGACTTGTAATGGAAAGGTCATGCCACTGACCTGACCTTAGGTCACGGATATAAAAAATCCGAGATATACAACTTGTAGGCTCCCATAACAGCATGCGTTCCACCAAGTTTAAAACCTTTCTGACAAACACTGCAGGCTGGACATGATTGCAAACTTTTTTTAAGGCTTGGTCAGTTAACTTGACCTAGTGACCTGACCTGACATGACCTGGGGTCAAAAATTTTACACATTGTCCAAAATTGATGTACCAAAAGCTACCCCAAGCGGCGCGGCGCTACGCGCCGCGGTTTTTTATTCACACGCGAAAAACGCGACAGGGTGGTAACATATGCCCCCCCCCCCCCCACTGGGGCGAAGGATAATTCAGATAGCCAAGATATTATCACAATGAAATTCTTGAGAATAACCCTCAAGTGAGAAGTAATTTTAAATGTTGGATATTGATATTTTCTCATCTGATGGCACAAAGGATCAAGGGAACTGAAATAATGGTAATGAGGAATGCTTCCAAAGGATCAAAAACATTCAAAAACAGGTACCTAGCATTGATGGACACCCCTTCCATGCATCCTTATTTAATAGAAATTGATCAGAGGTGCAATTGTATTGTTCATCAGATTACATCTTTATCATTGCCATTATTGGATCAAGAGCTCAGAAGGGTAGTAGCTCAGTACAACTATGGTCATGAGTACCCAAATATAGGAACGTCCCCATTTTTGGGAACGGAGTTCCCAAATATGGGAACGGGCGTTCCCATTTATGAGAACGGAAGGCAATTTTTCGGCCGTTCTCCCACTAAAACTCAAAAGTGCATCACGTCTCAAAAAAGTGCACGCTGATTTAAGTATCTACTAAATCTCCATAAAGTTATCTTTAATATGACCGTGGAACAAGGAAATTGACCGTGGAATGATATTTTTAATGATTTTTTGAAAATGACAGAATGGTGGAAATATGGGTTATACGACATTTAACATGCAATTTTAAGGAAAATGAAGCATTTTTTAGTTTGAGGTAAAGTATAATAATTTTCGCCTGGTTATGAACTTTCATACTATCGGCACCAGATGCTGACAAATGCAAGCGAAGACGCGGAAGGTCCCGAGGTAATATTGTTGACTTTTGTGTCGGGGCGGACGACCGCGTGGAACGTGAGTGAATTTACCGAGCTACTGTTGTAAACTCAGTTTAAGCGGTTGAAAATTATCCAGCTGTATTTTATCATCCCGGAAAGACATATTTTATTTGGATGCTAGCTGTTTAGTTGTTTTATAAGGAGCGTCATGAGCGTGGTTTTTGTCTTCCGTGTTTCTAAGCGTGATCGTTTTGGGGGAATTTCTCTTATATAGCTCGCTCTGTGTGGCTTATTTATAATTTTTATGCTGATTTCGATAATTCCTCGTGCCCATCCTACCAGGCCTTTTGCCACTTACACTCATCAAGAAAGGAAAAAACTAGATTTTCATTGGGGCTAGGTGTTTTGAGGGTGTAACATACTCAGCGTTCCCATTTTTGGATACTTCCTTGTACTCGTCAACTATCGGTGATAAACAGACAGGTGCTTGACATGTCTCCACCCTCGGCGCGGACGGTGGATATAGGTATGGAAGACCCTGTTGAACATCGCTGAGCGTTGTGAATTACGTAATCCTGCAGAGGGGGGCGTACCCGCTGCGAGATCGACGGGAATAAAAGCGCAGAAGACCGGGCGAAACATGCGACGGTCTTGCCGGAAAGGTCATCTGATGATTGTTGCGTTAACAATAATTTGCGGCGTTGGACGTGATGCTTGTTAATGAAAAGAGCCCCTGAAAGGCGTCGGTGAAATCGTTCCCAATTTTGGGTACGCCGTTCCCATAATAAGGAACGCTTGCAGCGCCAGTGTACGAGAGCGTTCCCAAATTTGGGCTCGCGGCCCGGATGATGGACTGCTTTAAAAATAGGGGAACGATTTGAAACTACGATGGGCCTTACAATATCAAACTCTTTCCCAACAATATTGAGACAAATATCAGGCGGTTCACGATCGTTTTATATTTTTTGGACGTCATTTAACGGTTCTTTTTCTTGTTTTAAATAATGCCTACATGGCGTTCCCATATTTGGGTTTATCGTTCCCAAACATGGGAACGAAAATGCGTTCCCGAAAATGGGTACGCTTGACCATAGTTCCGCCTACTGAGCTAGAATTGCACAAAAAGGGGCATAGGTAATCCCTGAATTATCATTTTCTAAACATCACAATTCATTTTTTTATATGCTAACACAAGATAAGAAAACAAGCTGATAATTATGGTTTAATTTTGATTTAACTAAGCATGAAGTTGTATTTAGATTAAGAGGAAAATTTGACATGTCCATATCTAAATCAAAATATTCCAAACAACTCAAAGCGCAAAAAGGCTCTACTGTGCTGACTCCTGAGGATGGAAAAGAGGGAACAGTCGCACTGAATCTGTGCCAACTTCCGTTACATCGTACAATGGCACAGAATCAAGATGTCGAATCAAGACCTCTGACCATATATTTGAAATGAACATTGACATGTTTACTATTCCGGGATGGGATGATCCTATGACCTGTAATCTGTATTCATATTGATCCAACTAAATGCTCACGAGGTTCAGCGGTTGCACGATCAAGATGCCCCTGTGACAACTTAGCAGATTAATTATGGATCCACGGTATATTGTATGCAAGGCTATTTAAAATTGTATGGATCCACGACGAGATCGCTAAGATCTTGGCTAAGATCTTGGCTAAGATCACGTAAATATTTCATGTCGTTACATGTTCGAGCTTCGATTTTGCTGCCTCCCACGAGTACTTTGTGTAGATTACTCCAATCAAAACTAGTTATGGCGAAATGGTTGACGTTGATTGGTCTAAATTCTTTATTGTATCAAAATAAAACACAATAAAAACTTACAAACATGCCGCAACTGCTACGATCATAGGTATTCACTATTTTGCGACTGCAGCAGATAACGAAAAGAGAGGCTGTGCTCATTATACGTTTTGATTGACACCTCTTCCGTCAACTTGCACTAACTGAGTGTATTGAACATAATTATTATTTAGGATCATGGATCCGGCCAAAAAAAGATCCGATATAAATGAAGAGATCATACGCTCACGCTCGACTAGCCAGAGTATAAGGTATAGATCGACTACCGATTAGCTGCATTGGAAAAGGAGTGAGGGGTTGTGCTGGTCTGTATTGTCTTTATACCGATATAATTCCTCTTTACTTGAATATTTACTGTAAGTTTGTACGGTAGTCATTCCATCTGGATCAAAAGCTTTGTGTGGGCAGGGTGAGTTGTTATCATTGACCAGTGGTTTCCGCATGCAATAGGATGAGCGATTAACGATAAACGATAATTATCGCTGTTAAGTAAATTGTTTATCGTTATCGTTTATCGCTAAATTTTCATAATTATCGCTCATCCACTTATCGCAAGTTACAAAAATTATGAACGATAAACGATAAAATGTAAAACGGGATGATGGAAAAATGGAAGACGATCGACAGTGTATGCTGCGCGACAGTATGTGTGCGCAACCTGTTGCCATCTGCTAAGTGTATAGATCTGCAAATAAACTTCAAGTACACTTATTTAAGCTGTATTTCTTATCGCTTTTATTATCACTGTTAAAAAACAATTATTGTTATCGTTGTATCGTTTATCGTTTCGTTATCGCTGTTAAAAAAATAATCACCATTATCGTTTTATCGTTTTATCGCTATCGCTGTTAATTTTTTGCAAATTTTTTTCGTTTATCGTTTATCGTTATTGCAGACCTTATTTATCGTTTTATCATTATCGCAGGTCCGAAAATTAATTATCGCGGAAAGCATTGTCATTGACTGGGTATACCTGGGCCCTGTTTCACCGGTGGTAGCAGCACGCTGCTATTACACGTGTCAAGTTGGGTTTCCATGGAGACATCCATGGAGCCTATTCCATGGAGCCTATTCCTCCAACACTACCAGAAGTGTGATGTCAGCTCGTGAAATGGAATAGCAGCATGCCGCTATCACTGGTGAAACAGGGCCCTGGTCAGCACCCTGGGGATCAGCAGGCACTGCCCTAAAGTGTAATTTGGCAGCACTAAGTGTCAGAAATTAGGTAACTCACAAAATGATGCTGAAACTTACAAATTAAGTAGCTCCCTCCTCCTGAGCCCTCACATTTTCTCTATCTTATACTTTTACCCTGCTACCTCAGGTCAGATGATCAGGGCCCTGTTTCACCCGTGATAGCAGCACGCTGCTTTTACACGTGTCAAATTGGGTTTCCATGGAAACATCAACAGGCCCATTGCTCCAACACTACCACAAGTGTGACGTCCGCTCGCGCAATTTGATAGCAGCGTGGTAGCAGCGTCCCGTGAAACACCGCCCAGGTCAGTTATGTGATAGGTATCCCTTCTTTTGTTTGTTGGCAGCTTACAGCTGAAACTGCCTGTTACATAAGACATGGTGCAGTCACAGGACTGAAAGTCCATTGGATGTAGGGTAGCACTACCAGGACTCCCAGCAGTCCTAAGGGTTAAGTTCTGACCTCTGAAGTCTGAACCCATGAGTCCTCTGAAAGCCAAAACATCCTGGACCCTCTAAAATCAGTGTACTGTGTGAGGCCCTTTCAGCCTAGCCTGAACCTTCATCAGACTGTTATTGTGTTACCTTTGAGACTGCAGTGGATGAAGTTCACACAAGTGGAGGATTCTCCTAAAATCAGTTTGATGCCATTTCAGAGTCTATGGGTCCCAGGAAATGTAAGCTGGACCATCATGGACTGAGATGAAGTAGACCTCAATCCTTGCTGGCATGACCTAATGACTAACGTCTAACACACAAAGTTTTATTATGGGTGGGGATGCATAGCAGATTGTTTTCAAAATATCTGCAAGTTGTATTTTGGTTGAAATTTTGTAATGCAAATGACTATTTAGGCTTAGCTGTTGTCCGTCTTCAGAATCAAGTTTTTTATGCTCACTTTCTATGATCATACCGATTATTTTTCGGTGGTGGGAAAATATTTGTTTTACCCATACAGATAAAGCTGAAAGAGACTCTTTTGGCAATAAGCATTCAAGATAGGTATTGCATGTCAGAGCCTTTTCAATTTTAGGCTAGGTACACAAGCTCTCTTTCGATTTACTTTCACGCACGGTGGAGTTTTGATTGGTGCTAACGAATTATATATAGTACCTATATTTGAAAAGGCTCGCATGATATTTCCTGACCGTCGAAAGTGTCTGTTTCAGCCATCAGGAAGTCTGGAGAAAACTCGTGTCGGGCAGCAAAACACCGCAGGAGTGTATCGTAAAAACAGTGGTGAATCTGCCATTGAACAATGCTAGGTACCGTGCATTAGCACTGAGCCATTGTGTTGTTTGTCGAACACCGGGCGCGCGCTGTACATAGCTGTTTTCTGCGAATGGCCCGTTTTCCTCCGGCCGATGTTTCGTTGCAGAGGGCGCGATGTCAGACGAGGAGGATTTTGTTCCGGACCTGGTACCGGCCCAGTACGCGCCCATTCCAGTTCTGATCATCACCGGCTGCCTAGGCGCCGGAAAAACCACGCTGCTCAACTACATACTCACGGAGCAGCACCACAAGAGGATAGCCGTTATCCTCAATGAATTCGGCGAAGGTAGGTAGCAAGTTGAACGTCGATGTGTCATGTGCTGTTTCATGTAGTTCAACGTTGATTCATTCATGTCCCTTGGTAATGCTTTAAGTAAACATGCATTGCATATTTTTTACACCAACACTAGTTTCCCTTCAAAGTGTAGTGGGTAGCTGTTTAAATCAGGGCTGCGTAGTCGATGGATTTTAGGGTGACTCCGACTCCGACTCCGGCTTTAAAAATCGACTCCGACTCCGACTCCAGCTCCGACTCCGACTCCGGACGGTTCTATTGAAATCCATATCGTGATACTGAAGCTCATAATGGATATGTTTTATCTTGCCTGAAACGATCCTTTGTGCGTTCCAGGGCTTTGCATTGCAAATATGCATAAAAACAATATTCAGAATTAACAAGCAGGTTCTGGGGAATTCACCGTCTTCTGCTTCTTTCACTGAAAACGTTTGTCCAAAACAGCGAAATGGTCATTTTTTCGACAAAATCTAATTTCGAGAGCAGTATCGTCAATTCAACAGGTTGGGCGTTCCACGACAAATCGACAAGTGCCCTGCACCCTCATATTTTATTTTTTGCTTAAAATTGGTCTAATGGGTTGTGGTGGGCGGGGAAGCCAGCTGTGGCAAGGATTTTTTTCTTCGAACAACGGTTTCCGAGATATAGCCTCGGGCAATTCCTGGAGGTCGCGCTGCAGCCGTTTGGCGGCCTATAACTCAGAAACTATTGGTTTTCTACGATAAAAACTTAATATGGTTCAACTCACAATCAACCAACAAACATTTTGGCTATCTCGGATTTTCAATTTTTTGAAAATTTTGATCACGTGACCCTTTTACCTATTTTTTTCGAAGAGTGACCTTGATATTTTCCCCACTGAAAGTAGCAAATTTGTCTGATGACGTTTAAAGCCTTATCAATTGTCATTCATATGCGATAATAAAAAAGTGCCTATCGCCCTGCGTTGACCTCAGGTCAGGTCATTTTTATGACCTGTTCATTATTACGAGCGGGAGCGACAGCGAGATCTCGAGAATATAGCAAGATAGCGACAAGCGGTAAACGGTACAGGATTCACACGGATAAGGTCTACAATTTTTACTGAGGTCATTTTCAGGTCAGGTCAAAGATGACGTCACAGGGGTAAAAAGGAAGTCAAAATAGTTTTGGCTGTACCTTTTGATCTAATAAAGAAAGAGACGTGGAAAAGACACCATTGTGTTTGCATTGGCCTAGAGCCAGTTCGCTTTGAATTTCGATATCGATGACCTAAGGTCAGGTCAATTTTTTGACCATCCCATTAAAAGTAAATTGGGATAAATCGGCTCGCTTACTTTTAAACTAAAACACGTCGGAATCGCCTAATTTACCATGAGTGACTTCATATAGGATCAATTTTGCCTACCTTGAGACCCTTTTTTGCTCTTCGGCAACTGTAAGAAGGTCATGTGACATCATTAAAGGTCACCAAAGGTTTTTTGCTAATAACTCCTTACAGGTTTGAGATACAGATGCGCGGATGGATTCATTGTGCTCAGCTCGTCAAGGCGCATCGAATGATATACATATATGATGACCTTAGGTCACGTGACCTAAGGTCAGTTTTTTACCTAGACCTTTCGAGGTCAACATACATATGTTTCGATGCGGATCGACGAGAGGATCACGATGGTGCTATTAGTTTGCTCCTAGCTGGGATACCTTAAAAGTTATTCGAGAAAAACTTCATATATATGTAGTGCCCCTATTTTGACTTCCTTTTTGCCCCTGTGACGTCATCTTTGACCTGACCTGAAAATGACTTCAGTAAAAATTGTAGACCTTATCCGTATGTACCCTGTACCGTTTACCGCTTGTCGCTATCTTGCTTTGTTCTCGAGATCTCGCTGTCGCTCCCGCTCGTAATAATGGACAGTTCATAAAAATGACCTGACCTGAGGTCAACGCAGGGCGATAGCTGCTTTTTTATTATCGCATATGAATGACAATTGATAAGGCTTTAATCGTCATCAGACAAAATTGCAACTTTCAGTGGGGAAAATATCAAGGTCACTCTTTGAAAAATAGGTCAAAAGGTCACGTGATCAAAATTTTCAAAAATTGAAAATCCAAGATAGCCAAAATGTTTGTTGGTTGATTGTGAGTTGAATCATATAAAGTTTTTATCATAGAAAACCAATAGTTTCTGAGTTATAAGCCGTCAAACATAGGGTTGCAGCGTGACCTCCAGGAATTGCCCGAGGCTATATCTCGGAAACCGTTGTTCGTAGAAAAAAATCCTTGCCACAGCTGGCTCCCCCGCCCATCACAACCCCTTACACCAGTTTTCAATGAAGAATAAAATATGTGGGTGCAAATTTGATTTTTATTTGTCGAATTGTCGTGGAACGCCCCAGGTGCAGTGCATGACGTGGAGCCATGCAGCGTTAACTCCGACTTCGGAGTCGAAGTCGGTAAGATTTTGGCGACTCCGACTCCGACTCCAGGCAGAATTGTCGACTCCGACCGACTCCAACTCCGACTCCGACTCCGCAGCCCTGGTTTAAATAGTGAGGCGTGCAGCAGCTGCGATTTGTGTGTGTGTGTGTTTTTTTTTTTGCAAAGTGCTATTTAGCCTACGAGCTTAACGGTTTGGTGGCACTCTCTTAGCTCGCTTTATCGTATTTTCTGCCAGGGAGTGCGATGGAGAAGAGTTTATCGATCGGCGAGGAGGGCAACATGTACGAAGAGTGGCTGGAGCTAAGAAACGGCTGTCTCTGCTGCTCAGTCAAGTGAGGTTCTATCACCAAAGATGTTGTTATACTGTGTGACAGTATGAGTCTCAGTATATTAACGGTCGTCTGCCGTTGGTCAGAAATGTTTAGGCAACAATAATGACACCCAACTGTTGGCCGTCTGATGTCGCGTTTCGCTCTCCGCCTCCGTCGCAGGGACAACGGTGTGAAGGCCATCGAGAATCTGATGCAGAAGCGCGGCCGATTCGACTACATCCTGCTGGAGACGACCGGCCTGGCCGACCCCGGTGGGTAATGGGTAGTGCGGACCCGGTGGGTAATGGGTAGTGCGGACCGCTCTGGTATCAGTACGACCCCGGTGGGTGGTGGACCACTCCGGTATCAGTAGGGGTACGACCGACCGGCCTGGCCGACCCCGGTGGGTAATGGACCGGGCCGCGCTGATATAAGAGGGGGCACTGTCGGCCGGCCGATCGTGGCGGGGACAAGTAGGTAATAATAACCGATTTCTTGAGCAAGAAACCATGATACTAGCTAATCATGTCCGTGTGTCTTCATCATGTACAGTCTGTCTTAAAAGTACCGCGCAAAGTGACGGTGGATCCATAAAGCCTGACCGAGGAAGGGCCTGTTATAATTTGAAAGTCACCGAACCAATTGACCTGGGGAATGGACGAGGATGTCAATTGCTTCGGTGACTCAAATTTAGCAGGCCCTTCCTCGGTCAGGCTTGATGGATCCACCGTCACTTTGCGCGGTACTTTTAAGGCAGACTATACGTATATTGCGCGCAAATGTACCCGCTACGATGATAATTGTCTAACCGTCATCTGTCGCCTTCTGTGCGCGCTTCCCCAGGTCCGGTCGCGTCCATCTTCTGGCTGGATAAGGAGTTGGGCAGTGATGTCTATTTGGATGGTACGTGAGGCTGCGGTGTGGCGGAGACATCCGTCCGGCTGTTGGTCTTGATGGCCAATAAATTTTTATCAGACTATTCAGAGCGTAGAGTAGGCGACATCGGTAGTATTGATCGAATGGCATATTTATTGTAGTAAGTCTTTGTTCCGGATGAAGCACCCTGTAACCAGCCGTTTTATGCGGGTGACATTGTTTTTAATGTTTCTTAATGACTCTTGAAGATGCCTTTCATTTATTTATTTACGCGCCTCAAAGAAGCCGGCAGCAGCCATTAAGTATCCGATTTCGCACGATACTTACGAGTCATTTTATTGAACAGTAGAGTGCATGAGCCTGCCCTGATCCGTCTCCCTGCTAATGCATCCGGTTTATTTTCAGGTATAGTAACTGTAGTGGACGCCAAGAACATTGTTAAGGTGAGTGATGGGTGCTCCGCCTGTTCGGCATTGTCACATGCCTTTTCCGCGTTGTAATCGGAGCCCATTGTTTCGTCGGCCAACGGCGCCAAGTGTAAATAAAAGTAGATTTAGTGGCCGACAGATGGCGCCGGCAGGGCCGTTCCGAGCCAATGCAAGCAGTCCCGGTGACGGAATGGGCCGTTACAGCGACTGACGGCTTCTGGTGGGCCTCTTCCACCTGGGCCGTCAGCCTTGGGGTGTTAACTGAGGTCCCGTGTCTCTGTCCTGTCCGCAAAAGTGTTTCCAGTAAGCTCACTTATCTGCTGCTTTAGCTATCGGCAGTCATGGAAGCAGTCGCAAAAATGACGTAGCTAATTAACCGGGACAGTTAGACTTGATGCTGGACAAATGAGAAGGGCTAGTTTATAAAAGAACAGTTATTACGGGGTTCATCGCAATGATCTTCATGAACAATAGCGTTTTCCGCATTCAAAACCTAGCAAAGGTAGCCTGCTGATAGTTTCTTTAAAGGATATATTAACAACATTTCCTCCTCGTCTCTGCAGAGCGCACATGCAGATATTCTGTTGCCACCACACCTAGAGCCGGCCATCCCTCCTCCATATCGCATTGGGCGTCGGCCGTCGAGGCTGTCGGCGGGTTCGTCCACACGGCTGCGATGCTGTGCACATATGGTGACCGGTGGTGGGACGGGCCTGTTTCAGACCCTGGACGAGGCGACTGAGGAAGCCATGTCAGAGGAGCCCGCGGAGCAGTCGACTCTGGGCACCCCGGCCAGGTGAGACGCACCCATTTTCTGCGCTCCGGCCTGGTGAGACGCACCCATTCATTGCACCCCCGCCAGGTGAGACGCACTTGTTTTTTGAACCCCGATAAGGTTAGAGACGATCAGGCGAGTTACGCCCTCATCATATGAGGGGCGGGCAGTCCCACCATTTACTCCTACTAGATTAGACTCGCACCGGTCCTGCACCCTGCCGAGGTGAGCCGCACGGCCCTGCACCCAGGTGCGCGGGGCTAGGATGCGGGGCTGACCGGTCACTGCTGGGTGCTACCGCAATGACGTTAGTGACTCGACAGTCAACGTAATGCTCTAACTAGTTAGCCGTTGATGATGTAATGACCGGAAATGTTCAGCTCCTCTGAGCTGTCCTGATTTTCTGCCTTCGCCGCTCGGCGCGGTGCGATACCACGTACGGTAATCTGATAGCCAACTCACGTGATTCCGGCACCAGACGTGTATGTTGAGGGGCCGATCAGCTCTGATCCAATCAAAGCCCACGAATCGATTCGTTTAGCGTGGTACTTACGAGATGGAAAAGATTATGGCTGCCATACCCAATTTGGCTGGTGATGAAATTATTTCGACAGTGGGACCTAATCGATCGTCTTTGAGGAGTGATTAAATTGATTTCACTTTGTGTTAAGGTGGAAGGCTGCTGTTTTATACTTTTGCTGTTTCATGTATCAATTTTTGTTCTTTATTTCAGTTTGAATACATGAAATATGAAAGAAAATTCGGCATTAGCGGACTTCTTGCACGTCAGACCAGCCAGCTGTTGTTCCGCGCGAACAATCCCTTTGTCCGCGAGCGTGGCTTTTGAAGCCCTCTGGAGCTCGGGCCCCCGTCTTACATTCGATTAGTGGAACGTCGCCGTCCGAGCGCGTGATTTCGTTGTGTCTTCTCGCTTGTGATAAATCCGTTTTGCCAGATTGGCAGATTAATGTCCGGGTAGCGCGATCTGTCAGCGGGCTGTGTTGTCGGCGGGCGGTGCTGAGCCAATCTGCGCCGCCCGGAGCGCTGTCCGGACACGCCGGACTCCGTCTGGGCCCGCTGCGGCTGCTCGGGACGGTCGGCGGAGATAGCCGACAATTAGGCACATACGTGCCGCCCGCATTTGTGGCGTTTGCAGAATGCAGCTGCTATTAATATCGGGCGCTGAGTACGGGGAATGGAACCGGACGCTGACCGCTACCCTCTCCTCTGTGCGGCAGGCAGGTAGCGCTCGCCGACCTGCTCATCCTCAACAAGACAGACCTGGTGACGCCGGCCGAGCTGGACGAGATACGGAGCCGTCTGGTGGCCATCAACGGAGCGGCCGCCCTGCTGCCGACCTCGCGCTGCAGGTAGGGCTGACCTCTCGCTGCAGGTGGGGACTGCTGACGGGACTGGGCGAACCTACCTGCTGCCGACCTCCCGCTGCAGGTAGGGACTGACCCCGCGCTGCAGGCTGACGGGACCGGGTTGGCCGCCCTGCTGCCGACCTCGCGCTGCAGGTAGGGCTGACCTCTCGCTGCAGGTGGGGACTGCTGACGGGACTGGGCGGGCCTACCTGCTGCCGACCTCCCGCTGCAGGTAGGGCAGGGCCCTCTCGCTGAAGGTAGGGCAGGGCCCTCTCGCTGAAGGTAGGGCCGACCTCGCGCTGCGGTGGACACTGTCGAGTGCCGACGGGAGGGTACCGAGATCGGAGGATCTGGTACTGATCGAGGCGGGACGGCCTGGGACCGACTGAGGACGGGCTGTCTGCCACCGAGACCGAACGTTACCGGCTGGGACTGCACGGCCCGCCACCGAACATGATGTAGAGACAGATAATTCTTGTATTATTTATCATTTCTATTCGTAAAATATCGTGTTTTTTCGTAATTTGTATGTTTACTTACATTTCTGCTTCTCAATCACCGAGCTAAGATAATATAGTGAAAATATGCATCAATTTGGAAATTGTGCCTCGCTTAATTAATGCGTGCCGTCTATTTCAGGGTGGATTTAGACAAGATCTTAGACCTCCATGCATATGAAAAGGTGGATTTTAAAAGGCAAGTACTGTTGATGCCACCATGACGGCGTTCCGCGATTACCGGTCCGCTCGATAAACACGATTTTATTCCTATGTAGTCACATGTCATGCATGTAAATAGCTGTTTCTATCGCTGATTGACACTGCGTTTCGCGACTAATGGTGACGCCGGTCGCCTTCAGCCCACATCTCGACCCGCACCACTTGCTCGTATGCTCGTGTATCAGTCGTCCGGTGCGACCGACGCGCGCGTCGCCGGCGTCCTGGCGAGTCACTGACAGCCCGCCCCGTCCGTCGGCTAATGCTCCCCCGGACGATCCCCGCACGCCCCCGAAATTAATCGGCCGACCCGCGATCTGCCGCCGCATCCCGGTCATAAACGGCCCGCACAAAGGCCCAATCCATAAAATTATCATTGGCGTTATAAATGGCGGGGGTCGGCCGGGCACCTGTCATCGGTATTGTCCGCCGCGGGCGGGCGCTCCCCTAATGGTGTGTGGCGGCCAGCGGCCCACGCCGGCACAGGCGGGCCCGACAACACCCGATCCTCCCGTCTGTCGCATGACTGTCTGTTTGACTGACCAACTGGCTGGCTGGCTGGCTGGCTGACTGACAGACTGTATCTGACTGACTGACTGACTGAGACTGGCATTATCAACTGGCTGACTGGCCGTCTGTTCTTCTGTCTATATGTCTTAGTTGCTGCCTCTCTGTCTGCGGCTGCTTACATATGGATGTGTGACAGCTCTGATATTGAATAATTGATGATATGTTATGATATTAATGATATTGATATTGAATAACAAGTGAACAATTGATCTGCCCGTAAGATAGAAATTTTGGAACCTGATACAACCTTATTGGTTATTTGTCTTAAATACAACGCAGCTGTGGGAACTAGTCAAGACTCTCCAATATTTTGATAATTTTGTATATCTCTCAGTGATCTCTATGCGTTAGTATGCACGTATGCACTTAACGTGCATGGATGTCTCAAATGTCAGCTGTTGACCAGATGCCTGTTGTCGGTTGTCATCTGGCCAATCTGAACGATCTGAACAGCACCGGCTGTCTGTCTGTGTGCTTTCTGTCCGACGGCAGATAGCTGTCTGACGCAGTGCTACAGCGCCAATCGAGGATTTTTAGAGGCCGTGATCGCTAATGATGGACGCTTTCGCTGTCCCGACGGCGTTTAATGATATAATACCTACGTGCTATTGATTATTGTTGTTGTGTTTTCAGCTTAGAGAAGCAATTCACCGTACCAGGAGGATCGCATATAGACCAGGTAGGCTGGCAGCGTTTATCTGGGCGAGGGTGTCCGCATCCTTTTTTCATATGATTTCATATACAATACGTTTTATCCGTATTTGGTACTGAAAATATAGCTCCTAATTGCAGATTGACTCCTAAATGTCGTCGAATGTCGGGCTGGCATCATAAAATCTCAACTGCCGTCTTTTTATATTCGCCCGCGATATTTCGCCTCTATTATTTAGCGAGTATTGGAGCACATCCGCAGCCAATCTCGCCCTCCCCACCCTGGCGTCGCCCTGACCGGGCGTCCCCGTTATGTGTGTTTGTCAGAGTCTGGGCACGGTGACGCTGGAGCGGCCGGGCAGCGTGCGCCGCCGGGACCTGGAGTCGTTCGTGCACGGCCTGCTCTGGGAGAAGACGGTGGCCGACCGGCGCGGCCGGCCCGTCCACATGCTGCGGATGAAGGTGAGCCGGCCGGCCGGCCTGCGCCGCCGCTCAATACCGAGCGGCCGGCCGGCCCGGGCCGACGGACGACGGCCGGCGCTCCGGGCCGGCCGGGAGCCGCGCTCGCCGCCGCCTTTGTCCACGCCCCACCGTGGGCCAGTTCTATCTGCACCGATAAACTCCATTCACACACACTTAATGAAAGACCGCGGGCCGGCCGGCGGCACAATGCCGCCTGTTTACCTCATGAATATAAAAGGTAGTATTATATCAATGGTCGGGCCGGTGGCCTGTAGTGGATGAGTGGCGGCGCGGCTGCCGGCGAGATCGTCGGGCCGCGCCGCGCCGCCGCCGGCACGGCCTCTTGTCATAATAGTTTTCCACCCGGTGAAAGGCGGCCGTGCGCCCCTGAAAAGGAGGTTTTTTGCCGGTGGCGGCGGCGTACACTTCCGTATGGAGTGGCTGCGCCGGCCGTGTAGAGTGCGGCGCTCCCGATTATCGGCTGATCCGCGGCGTCGGACCGGTGCGGCGCCGCTCCGAGGCGCCCCCGATCGGACCGATCAGTCGGCTCCACACAGCCAGACAGGAAAATATTATCACATTTAGCGCGGCTAGATCGGAAAATTCCGCTCCTTTTATCCCACGACCATCATAGATTTTATGGCGTTTTGTGATAGCAGACTGTTATATGGAGACATCGTTTTTACAAGTTTTAGGGAGCGTAGTAGGCGCTATTGAAGAGAGTCTTGAGTTTCCACTGAAAGGGGGTGAAGGATGCCGCACTGAATATTGGTTCTCTCTTTGAATATCTACATTGATTTTTCCGATTTTTCGTCGATGATTTACAGTGCGTCACTAAACCGTGACTCTTACCTTTTAATATTTTCCATTTTCCTCGTACTTACAGAACTGATTTTGTCTTACGGGTAGGTCACTGTCACCAATCTTTTTTACGTCTTTATGGTTATACATTTTACGGTCAGGGTTCATGGTCCACTCTATGTCAGTGGGTGAGGCGTAGTTATCTGTATCAAAACATTGCATTTCACTGTTGAACTGTGATTGTCGAAAAGTACACTTTATGGGTCCGGCTTTTACAAATAGGCTCTTGATTGGTGTTGTATCCTTTACATGTCAATAACCGTACCACTATCATGATGGTGTTCCTAGAAAATGGCTGATCTCTGCTGATAGGCTCTAATAAACGGATTAGGTTAAGGATCATTGTTCTCCTTCAATCTTTACTGCTATTTGAAGAGACCTACAGTGTTTCTGTGTTGGCACCGACTTTTAGATCCGTGTAAGAAAGAAGTGAACATCACAGCTCAAATTTACCCTGACGGTGTGCAATGTGCATTGTTTTGTTTTACGTGGTTGCCGAGCAGTATCTAATGCGCTTTACAGGGTTGGGCAGATAAATTGGGACAAAATACATATTTGCATTTAGAACGCCGTAGCTTAGAAATTTGTAAACATAGGCATTTCAAATTTGGATCACATATTGTCACACCAATTTTACACATTTTCACCAAATATGGTCACCGTGGTCCACCTGCATCAGTCCTTATCGGTGCCTGGACTGGCCGCACGCGCGGCGAGATCTCCCGTCTGAAATGGCTCGTAATTGTAGCCAACTGGCACTGCTGAGGCTCACCACAGTCATATGGGGACGTTCGTTAGGCTCACCCGTAAAAACGCCCCAGCAACCATAACTTGTGTGGGCTGAGGTGTAATGAGGAAGGGGGCATTTTCCCTTGGGTACAGTTTGCGGGATCCTCCGTTTCAGGAGATTTTGTATTTAATTTACTGTATGCCGGGGAGCTGACTCCTCGAAGAGCATCACTCCATGCAGGATGTTGCCTTCTTTCATCTTGTTGATTCGAACTGCCGGAATAATGGTTAGGTACCCTGCAATGGCGAACCCCCTCCCGGTTCCGTAAAATAAGGGGGCCCCACGTGACCGTCAGAAGTCACCGAGTGGAATGCCATCACCGATGTCTGCTGCATGCTTTTTGGAACTAAGATCACGTCTTCTGGGCTGGTTGCGATGTTACATGGTGTTTGCGGTTGTTCATATGTTCGGTTATGGGGATACCATCGCCGAAAAAGACCTGCACGTGCTTGCTCGCTTCTCCAAGCCCTTCAAGAGGAAACAATCTTTTTAACGTCACAGCTGCTTCAACATCTATGTTGACAGGTTGATATGCATCAATGCATAAGAGTACATGTTTGAGGTGCTGGTATATCGCTTTCTCATGGCGCGGCTACCTTCGTTGTAAGCTCGCGCCACTGTTTTCGCGAGGATCCTCTGATTTAACTGAATTTTGCCTTTTAGCCCCCCTGGAGAACCGGGGGAGCGGCCGGTGTCAATGCAATTGGTATGTAAGGATGAGTCAATATCATCTCTTCCTCCAACGTTTACGTCTGTTCGATACACATTACTTTCAGCCATTTGATGGAGCATAATTAGAGTATTGGCACGCATGTGCGCGCGGACTAAGTTGATAGTGGCTTGCTTAAGCCCACGTTCTGTGACCAGCCGACTCAAAATTGCACCGCAACCTGCATAACATGGAAACGTATTCATAAGCCTATATTTATGTTCAAAAATTATCTTTATCACTCAAAAAATAGTCGTTTTAGAGGAAGTTAAAATTTGTCCCAATTTATCTGCCCAACCCTGTATACCAATAAGCTATAAGCCGTCTGTGCTGACGAACGCCAGACCGACGTCTGAGTTCTGGGAGACAGCACTTTTTGTCAGATGTTGCTGCTGCGAATGATTCTAGCTGGGCAATATTGATTTTTTTTTCTGTAAGCCCGCGGCATAAGGTTTTTTAATGGAATCTTACAGGGCAATGCATTCTAAAGAAGGCAGCGGTGCCGAAGCCTGATGGAAGCTTCCTGTCCGCAGAACGCGACGCTGTGGCGACATTTGTAGATGGACAATAGATTATGAACGCTGGATGGACAACGGATTATTATTTCCTTCGCCACCTATTCGACGCCCCCTCACTAAGGCTTATTGGCAGTCTTGTTACAGCGTCGCAGTGTGTATCCACTCCCAAAGTAGTAACAGCATCACGAGCCTTCTTATCAATTGGAAACATTATGTTATCCGGCCTGAATGTTTTTATGTGAAACGAAATACTGAAATAAGTGAGCGGTGGTACACATCGGCCAAGGAGCGCGGCGGTTTGCTTAGATAGCCGTACTATTGGGCCGGGTCGCGGTCCGCTGTCGGCGCGATCCCTCCGCTCCGCCCGACTGTCCAGCTACTGCTGCTAACATTGTGTACCCTCCTTTTTGTTAGCACTGTGTACCGCTGTATATCCCAGGGAATGGCCAGTGTGGTCGGCCAGGAGAGGCGGCTGGTGGCACGGTCCTGAGACTCACACTCGTGTTAACCCTGTGTGTACCGCTGTATAATGTATATCCCAGGGAATGGCCAGTGTGGTCGGCGAGGAGCGGCGGCTCATCCTGCAGGCGGTCGGGGAGATCTGCGACACCGAGTTTGCCAGCCGCTGGGAGCCCGACGAGCCGCACGTGACGCGACTCATCTTCATAGGTCAGTCCACTCACCTGCCACGCGTCTGGTGTCGCGCAAAGGTCTGCAGGAGGGGGGGGGGGGTTGTCCGATAGGGAACTGAAGTGGCGTGCTTTTTAGAACTTCACCACCTTTGATTGCGAGTTTTTAGTGAGCTGTTTCGTGATATAATGTAGTGCATTTCTATTTTACCACGTAACACTCATGTTACTCGTCAGTCAATGACGAGCGGCTGCTACCGTGCTCAGGCTGTATATTGTACAAGGTCTCACTCAGCATTTGCTACCACGAATCATAACAGCCTGTGTCGGCGTACACTGTGCATCCGATCATCCCACCATGTCGTCTGACCGGCCGTACATACCTTTGCCGTCTCCCGGCGGCTGTCTGACCTGACCGCGGTGTGTCGACGTTACAGGCCGGCACCTGGACGAGTCGCGGCTAGACGAGGCCTTCCGATCGACAGTACCTGTGGTCTCCGAGCACCAGTCGGACGCCGTATGACCTTTGTGGGTCTGCCGGGCTCACCGGTGATGCATTTCTCATCTGCTGTGCAGTGAATAATCGCGATTGAAGTTGATTTAATACATGTGATGTCCGATGTTATTCTGATTCTGGTTGTGATTTCAGTGAAGCCGGATGGTTACGGTTAGTTTGGTGTTGCTTTAGTCTACAGGAATGAACTATGCGGACGAGGCGTCAGTCAGACGATTATGGTCTAGACCTAATGAGGTAGGTATAACCAATGAGTTAAACAAATGAGATGCGAAAAAGTCGGCGTCGTTAGCAGTTCGCTGAGCACATGATTACAACGTAGCATTGAGCTACGAAATAATTGGCGACATTTTTATTAAATGCGGAAGGGACCTTCCTTATTTTTTCAACCACTACCTTTGGTATGATTTGCAAAAAAAAATCCTCCTTTCGCCGTCTTGCCCAGGAATCGTCTTGAGGTACACAGTTTCGCAGCAGATCCCCGGGACGAGGGGACGGGCCGCGCCGCGCCGGTGGGGGGCGGGCCCGGAGTGTGGCCCCGGACTGTATACGGCCGGCCGGGCGCCACTGACGCACCCCGGCCGCCGCCGCCAGCCGCCGGCCATGTTTCGGCAGGCCGTTCCTCTTGTAGCGTCTGTTGATGTGGTAAATATTGTGCCGTCGTGACAAAACCGCCACGGACAGCTCCCAGCTGTGCCGGCGGGCCGAGTAAACCTAGCGGGCGGCCGCCGCGCGCCGGCCGGGCGGCGGGCGGCGGCGTCAGCCGGGCCCTCTGTCACAGCTGACGGCCGGTGTTGGACGGCGACTGTAATCCTAATCTCTGTCATACCTGACTACTGTCGTCAGCCTAACCCTCTCCTCTGTCATATCTGACGGCTGTTGTCAGCCTAACCCTCCGTCATATCTGACTGCCGGGCCCGGGTGTTGGACCGCGACTGTCAGCCCAACCCTCCGTCATATCTGACTGACGGGTGCTGGGCTGTGAGTGTCATCCTAACCCTCTGTCATATCTGACTGCTGTAGTCAGCCCGACCCTCCGTCATATCTGACTGACGGGTGCTGGGCTGTGAGTGTGACTGTCAGCCCCGCGTGTCAGCCCTAGACGTGTGCCATTCCTCCGTCTGTCAGCTACCGACTACCGTTCACCGCCCCCGTCTTTCCGTCATCCCCCGTCCGTCTAGCAGCTATGACTCGTATTGCTTCTTGGAGACCTTCTGTTATCATTTTTAGTATGTTGTTCTGAATGTCACCAGTCACTTAGGTACAAAATCTGCCAGTCCCTGGACCCTGTGGTCGTCGGCCTTCCCGAGCCGTCTGACGTCTGTCATTCTCTATGGAGTCGTCTGTACTCAGATGGGCACCAATCCTGGCAGGCGGCAACTTTTGTATAGCGGTGTCTCGGAGTACAACGAATTCATACACCGTTACAATGGTCGTCCAGCATTCAAAACCGCCGTGAAACGCTACTTGCTGGGGCGTGATTCAAACTGAATGATTGATTGACTTGTATGCATGTGTGTGCTTGTGCTTGAATTGTGTGTATCTGTTTTGCTATGTCAACTCTTTTTAACGTTTGACGTTACGTTGATGAAAAGCCGCAATAGCGGATTTAACGTGAATACAATGAATCTGTCTGTCAGTCCCCCTGGACCGACAGTCAGTATCTAAACCGTCTGTCAGTGAGCTCCTCTACCGCCTGTCAGCCTTTCTTCCGTCTGTCAGTGAGCCTCTCTGCTGTCTGTCAGACTCTCTGCCGTCTGTGAGACTCTCTAGTGTGAGACAGTCTATTATACCTACCGATTGTCAGCCCTCCCGTGCCGTATGTCAGCTAGGCTCAAATGGTGCCGTCTGTCAGCGCTGCCGGGCCGTTTTGTCAGTCTCTGCCGTCTGTCAAACCTCTCTACCGTCTGTCAGTCCCCCGTCCCGTCTGTCAGCCTCTCCACCGTCTGTCAGTCAGCCGTACACGGTACCGTCTGTCAGCCTTTCCACCGTCTGTCAGTCCCCCGTCCCGTCAGTCAGCCGTACACGGTACCGTCTGTCAGCTCTCATTAGCCGGTATCGGCCGGCGCGGCCCGCCGCTCCGGACCGTTTATTTACCGATAGCCTAACGTGCCGTGTTAAGAGCGGCGTGTCGCCGCGACCCGCGATCGTATCGCGCCGGCCAGATTAGACATTCTGTCGGCCCGCTCTGCCGTCATCCGATATAGCCGGCTCCCCCGCGGCGGGAGGGGCGCGGCGCACGCACCCCCGCTCGCCGGCCGCCCGAGCCGGCCTCATATCCTTTTGTCTCGCGCCGTTCATCGCCCGCCCCGCCGGCTATTACAAATGAGCACGCAATATCTGCGCTTGACGCGGCGAGCCGACAAATATTTCTGATCTTATAACAAATATTAGATCAGAGCGGCGCGTTCCGACGGCTGCGTCAGCGCCTCGGCCGCGCCGGAATGAAGTCGGCCGGCAATATGCGCGACGGCGCGCCAAAACTGTCGACTGTCAGACGGGCCGCGGCCGGAATGTGTTGTTTAGTGTCAGCTATTTGATTTACGCGCGAAGGCCGCTGCCGAGAAGAGTGGCGTATTGAGTGAGCGGCGTGTCGGCGGCGGCGCCGTTTGATTCGGCCGCTAATCCCGGTGGTAAATAGTGGCGCGGCGCGGCGCCGCCTCTCCCGCGCCGCTCTCATTTGCTCGTTAGACCCTTGACATAATCCCGGCCGCCCATCGGGTGGCGATTATTTTTAACTCGGCCGGCCGGCCGCCGCCGCCGCCGCCGCCGTGCTGCTGCCTTCTCCTCTCGTACCGTCGTCGGCGAAAAACGTGCTGGCGCCGACTTGGCGGCGATTCCGCCAATATTTTCTCACCAAACGCCCGCCCAGCCTGCCTCGCTGTCGACATTGCAGAGCCGGGCCTCTCTTATATCTCAACACGTCGAAATGGGTTGTTTGCACTCACGCGATAATAATTATTTTCTCCATGCCAAAGTTGTCTCACATCTGCGCCAGCCGGCTAATCCGGCGGCCGGCGCCGACCAATCAGCGACAAGCTCCGCCCTCGGAGGCGGAGTCTTGTGACGTCTGACGGATAGACATGTTTCCATTGGCTGCGCTCGGCAACAATTTGTTTGGGGAGGGCGATAAACATTTGGCAGGCGTTGTGTTACAACAGTTTACGGAGCGGCGGTGGGACCGGGCGCAGAGCGGACTGTGGGCTCAGTCGTCAGCCATGGAGGTGCACGGAGAGACGGGCGCTGCCGGTGCTGCCGCCGCCGCCGCCGCCGGGCCGCTCGGGTACAGTGTGCGCGACATCCTCGGACTGCGCGCCATCTCCCAGTTCGCCGAGACGCCGCTCGACTTCCGGCTACCCGCGACCGGAGAGCCAGTGCGCTCTCCCAGCGAGCCGCCCTCAGACGCTTCGGACGAGCACGTGACGGTGGACAGTGACGACTCGGAGGGGCCGGCCGGCGAGCCACCGCAGCCGGCCGCGCTGCCGCCGCCGCCGGCCGAGACCGAAGACGGTGACGGAGACGGGGAGGGAGCGCGGACCGAGCCGGCCGCCGGCCAGACGGAGACGGACGGCGAGAAGAAGGCCGGCGCGCTGGTCAAGCCGCCCTACTCGTACATCGCGCTCATCACCATGTCCATCCTGCAGTCGCCGCAGAAGAAACTGACTCTCAGCGGCATCTGCGACTTCATCATGAACCGCTTCAGCTACTACAAGGCCAAGTTCCCCGTCTGGCAGAACAGTATCCGGCACAACCTCAGTCTCAACGACTGCTTCGTCAAGATTCCGCGAGAGCCAGGTAACCCGGGTAAGGGCAACTACTGGACGCTGGACCCGGCCTCGCTGGACATGTTCGACAACGGCAGCTTCCTGCGGCGCCGTAAGCGCTACAAGCGCCACCAGCCGGACCCGTTCCACGAGCTGTACGGCGCCGCGGCGGCCGCCGCCGCCGGCCGCCTCGAGCCGTACCGGGCCGCGCTCATGATGCGCCAGCCGACCGTGCCGCCGCACCCGCACCCGCACGCCCACCCACACGCGCACCCGCACCCGCACCTGCACCCGTACCTGGGGCCGATGACGTTCGGCGCGCTGCCGCCGGCGCCGCTGCTGCCGCCGCCTGTCATCAAGCCGGTGCCGGTGGCAGCGCCGCGGCCCGTCCGGCCGCCAGCAGCTCCGTTCAGCATCGAGGCCATCATGGCGCGCGACTCGCAGCACTCGCCTCCGCCGCCGCCACCGGCGCCGCCGATGGCCGCGCTGCCGTTCCGGCTGGCGGCGCAGGAGCTGTACCGGCTGCAGTGCTCGCTGGGCAGGTGAGGGCCGCTCCGGGCAGCGGCTGAGGTCGGCCGGTGGTGTGTCGGCAGACCCCGCGACCGGCAGCGTGTTAGTCGGGGCCGGACCGTGTGCCGACTGTTACACAATGGCCGCCGGCCGGACCACCCGGTTTGACCCGGTAATGCCGCCCGCCGCGCCGACACAGAGGATATTTATCGCATTCTGTTGTTTAATTTAAATATGTTTTAGATTGGCTGTTGTCGATAGTGCGACCTGTGGCTAACATGCACCGGGCTGCAGTGAGCGCGCTGGGGCCGCGACTCCCGGTCCCGGCTGGGTCGAGGCTCAGTGGGGCCTCGCGGGGTCGGTGGGCCGCCGGCCTGCACCCGGCGCCGCCTGTTGTTTCGAGTCGTTATGATCTCAGTGTATGTGTGTGTGTGCGTGTCACTGACTGACCTGCTTTCAAAGAATACATATTGGATGTGCTCTGTACGACGCGTTTCAGCGGGCACGGACTCTGGTCGAGCTGGTTTGGACTGAGTTGGGACGGGTCAAGTCGAGCTGAAAGGGGCTTTGCGCAATAAGCAGTACCAGGTTCTGCCGCCAGATGTCTCACGAGTCGATTCAGACACGGCGCGCGGCGCGAGGGCAGCTTGCTGCGTTGTTATTGCGGTGGAGATGCGCGGATCTCCGAAAGTTTTTACAATTATTTACTGGTTTCCTTTAAAAAACGGTCGTCATTGTGGATTAAGACTACAAGATGGTATATGATGCCGATGGACTGAAGAAATGGTCCGAGCTCACAAAGAAAACGTGGGCTGGTGTTTCTCCCATTGATACTGGCCTGCACTGTGAGCTACTGAAATGTTGGCCTGAGGAAAATTTCGACAACTTGCTTAAAAGCTTTAAAAGAGCCATCACTTATTTGTATGCCCTTTGAAGTTCCTCTGGCTCATGAGGTAGAGTTAGAACGTTTAAACGGAGTATTCAACTTACTGCACTGAAAAAAGGAGGGACAAAATGACCGAGTAGGTACCTACCCGTGCCGTCGATGAGCTTAAATGATCCGTCAAATGATTTCAACCTGGCAAAATCATTCGACATGTTGGTGTTTTTTTTTTATACAATAAACATAAACGTAGACAACATAAACATTTTGTCTAAGCAAATCATCATGGGCGAATTCGAGGGACGAGTCATGGCAAAAGTTGGCCCTGAAACTGGACTGTGGTCTGTGGAACATGCACAGTGGACGTGCGCATGGGCAGAATGCAACCCTGACAATACCAAGCAGGGGTGCGGAGCCGGAGCTGGAGCCGGAGCCGCCGGAGCCGGCATATTTTGCCCGGAGCCGGAGCCGGAGCCGTGAAACAGCATACCCCGGAGCCGGAGCCGGAGCCGGAGCCGTCAAAAAAGGGGGCGACTCCGGCTCTTTTTTAAGAGGAAAAAAATTGACCTAGTTCGGTTTGACAGTACAAGGCAGTAAAATGTGTGGTATTCAAAATAGCCTTGTCATGCAAATACAGAAGCAACGTGCACCAATCCAACCGCCTTTTTTCTTCCACCCGTATTTAATTAATCGCATAGGGGATGTACTGAGTAGGAGCCGGAGCCGTAGCCGGAGCCGGAGCCGGCGGAGCCGGGCCATTTTACTCGGAGCCGGAGCCGGAGCCGGAGCCGGAGCCGCCATATGACATTTTACTCGGAGCTGGAGCCGATTTTTTCTCCGGAGCCGGAGCCGGAGCCGTCTGAAATTTCCACGGCTCCGCATCCCTGCTTCTAAGTATTGAACACCGTGCTTCGCGCCAGGTTTCTCCATACGCCACCCCATCTCAGCCTTGGAGAACACCAAATCTGACGGAGCTGAGGATCAATGATAACCGCATAATGACTAATGCCTGCTTCTGAGGCCAACACATAAACTTCTAGCCATTTTCACGGAAAAGTTTATTTTTTAACAATTTTTGACACAATGAAAGGCACAACTTTGCTTTTGCCAGCGACGTGTTACGCTCTACCGACTCTCTATATCAATGGGATCGTGAGTTATTGACGAACAACTCTTGTGACCAAAGTGACGTTAAAAATTACGTAACGAAAGGTCGACAATGCAAAAGTGAAGTATATGACCTTCAAAGAGTGCATGAAATCACAATGCCATGTGACTGAAATAGTTTTAGATTATTCCCGGTACCAGACTAATAACAGTATCCATATTTTCCCATTAGCTTACCTATGAAGTAAGCTAATGGGGTCACGTGAGGTCATGTGCCCGACCTGACCTCATGCAACCTCTAGAAAACATTTGGCATGTGCAAATGTGAGACATCCGAAAAATAGTACGTCCTATAGGTTTCATTATTCTCCCTGTGAAAATTCCTCTGGAACTGAGGCGGTGCGAAGTTGCGACATCTGAGGACCATGCAGAGATTCACTTATGACGTCATAGTTCAGTCAACTGACCTAGCCTCGAAATGCGGTCGTTGTCACAAGATCCGCCTTGAATGAAAGGTCAGGGATGTCAAGTTTCAGTTCTCTATCGCCGGTGTGTTTCGATCTATCGCAGGAAAACCTATGGGGAGGGAGCCGCACCCGCCCCTCTCGGCCGGAGAGGCACAAAATAAGCGTCTCAAAGCCTGAAAGCAAGGAAAATACCCCAAAACTTATCCAAATCGCTATGATCTTAGCTCCGTCCGCCTGTAAATCACGTAAAACGCATCCAATGCGTCGGCCGCCATAGCCACTACCGAGGCCGGCGTGTCCGGTTCGCTCGTGCTGCCACCTGTCGGCCGGGCTACATTGAGATATCCCCAATGGGACGAGGCTGGGCCGGAACTTTCATCGCTTATTTATTCATTCGTTTATACCTATAGCTTCGTAGCTATCCTCTATGATCAACGACAGTTCCCTCAATTATCTGTTTTGCTAGAATCTAGATATTTCATTAGTTAAACTAAATTAAAACAAAGAACATTGAGGAAAGAGCATATAAAATGCAAAAGCATTTCGCGATTCGTGTTTGCTCGTAAAAAGGTCAGGAAAATGGTAGAAAAGAACAAACCGCTAAAAATGCTCATAACACGGGCACCGCAATGACTACGGCATTGAACTGCCTAGTGCCTACTAAACTAAATAAAGAACTTCAGCCTTCAGGCACTAAATGAATCAGTTTTATTCATTTACAGTCTACAGACTTTGCTTTACGTATGCCCTAGACCACTATATGTATCGTCACATTTCCCAGCACGTTCCTAATGACAGTCGGCGAAATCAGTGAACAGTCCAGATATAGGGTAAGATACCTACTATGGACGTCAAACCCCTTGAGACCCCACTTTTTTGCGATAATTTCTAAATGCGTCAACTCTCGTTGACAATATTCTGGCAATGTGTGTTTCAGAACCTGCCGAAACTTTTATTACAAAGGTATTTTGACGCCAAACGACAAGGGCGCGGGAACTACTTTCCGACTGGGGGGCACACCATAATAGAGATTAACCTAGGGTACCCCCAAATCTAGTTTTCTCACCGGTTTTAGGCCACTTATTTTTCACCCCTCGGCTTTTTCAACAAAAAAAGAAAACATTTGCAAAAAAAGTGTGGTATTCCGTCTCAAAGCTGTGGGGGCATCGCCCCCACGGCCCCAGAGTTGGGGGGGCAAGCTGCCCCCACTGCCCCCCCGGCTCCCGCGCCTATGCCAAACGATTATGAAAGGTAGGGGAGAGTGGGGTAAGATGCCCAGGGTGGGAAAGACGCCCCACCCCCTCTAGCCGGGAAACAAAGAATCGAACCTGGAAATTAATGTTCTTAGCGTAAAGCGGAAGCCTGCCTTGTTAACTGCACAAAAATTTGCGAAGCTCAGTTGGGCAACGGCTGGCTGGTGATTGCATGTTTTTTATTTGTTGCTTTCAAAAAATATTTTGGCGTCAAAACATTGTAAATATCAAAGAAGGTAGATAATTTTTGCGTCCCTTGCTATAGTCGTGATACATTAACATGCGTGTACTGTGTCCCAAACAGTTTGTTTCAGGGTGTAGTTTTATGGCTAACAAATTGTGCTGATTTAATGTTACTTCGGTACCTTGGGGTAAGATGCCCCCTGTCCTGATGGGGAAAGACGCCCCCCTAAATCCGGAGGCTGTCCTTCAAGCAGCCCGTCAAATCATTTATTACATAGGTACTTGTGATGAGAGACAAAAGCCGATCTGGAACTATTGAGAGTCCGGTACGGTCGAGTGCTCCCCGCCGGTCTCTCGGCCCACACAGCGACTTTTTGGGCGGCATCTGACTCTGAGAGCCCTCACGACGGCCTCTGTGGGCCCCATTATTGGTTCCAGGGCCCCTCACGACATCCTTTGAGGGCTCCCACGTTGGCTCCACGGGTCGCACTGGCATCTGAGGTCCCCACGATGGGCTCGAGGGCCCTCAAGCATCATGAAGGGCCCCACAGTGGTCTCCGAACGCCACCACGGAGGCTTGTTTGGCCACGCTGGACTATGATGGCCCTAACGATGACCTCTGAAGCCCCTTACGACTACTTTTGAGGGCCCTTACGATGACGTTTGGTGTCTACTGCAGGCTCGAAGGGACTACTGATTCGTTCAGGCGATTCACGTGCCTATTTATGTCACTTATAGTGCAGGGGGGCATCTTACCCAACGCCAGGGGCATAGGCGTAGGAACAGGGGGGGCCGGGGGGGCCATGGCCCCCCCACTTTCGGAGGTGGGGGGGCCAGCAATGTTAACTGGCCCCCCCACTTTTTGCTGACTTAAGTGTCTGTCTGTACCTAACCTACCACCCGGTAACTTGACAACTATTCAGCTTGCCCTTTAATGAGGATTCCTTTTTGTTTCTACAGCGTTATTGACCGCAATTTCCTTCACTCAATGAAGGAAACCATATCAGATGCAAGACTGTGAGTCCTGGTGACAGCATTTTGTTGAATACGAGGCGCGGGACAGCGAGCACTAAAAAGGTATAGGCAATACTAAGACAATACTAGCACGGTGCAGGAGAATGCGTATACAAACGACCAACGCTTGACCTTATCTGCTTGGGGTCGGCATAGTTCGTCAAAGGCGTACTAGCTGGGGGCCAGGGTGACCGTGCCTCAGCCTCGGTTCAAACAGGCTGGGGGCCAGCAATGTCTGTTTCTGCCCCTCCCCCTTCCACTTTCAGTGCAGTGGCGGTCGCAGAGGGGGATCAGGGCCATGCCCGTCCCCCCTCCAAAGGCTAATCAGGGGGCCATCATATCATTTGCCCCCCCCCCCCCCGAAACAACCAATGGGCCCCCATGGGCGTATGGGGCTCTGGCCCTTATTCGATTGTCACGAGACTCAAGAATCCCACGCTAGCTATTAACAGCTCCCAAACCAGTCTTGGAGGGTCCTACACTGATCTCGGAGGGCCCTTCAGTGGCGGTCAAGCGCCCACATTGACCGCTGAGAACCCACATTGACCTCATTTGAGGGCCCCTAAACCGGCCTCAAGG